GTGATTGGCTTCCTGTCATCAGTGCCAGTGAGTGGGCGCTGCCCGGTGGTGATGAGACCACTGTCCAGCTGGTTGTGGGAGGCACTGATTTGGGAGAAGTGGAGCAGTTAACCTTCATGGGTGAGTATTTCCAGAAGGTGCTGTTTTGGCATTATTGCCAGTCTCCAGTGTTGAGCATCACAGTGCAAGTTGTCTAAGAGGCACATTTTGCAATGTGCCATTTTAGTGTTTGAGGACAGAGAGCTCAGCTCCAAGAAGTCTTGTTTTATTTCTTCTCTCAGTGCCATAATCTTGGGAGTCCTGCAGACTGGATCTCCTAAGGCTAATCACCTGCATGAACTGCTCTGTGGAATTTATTTGCCCTCCCACCCATCTGGCCTTTCCAAGAGCTGACAGCACCGTGGGACAGGTCAGGTGAGTGAACTTAGGAAACGATTTGCCCCCTATAGTCACCATGTTCCTCAGGGAAGAACATGTCTTCCAGCGGGCCCCTACCCCCAGTCTTTGGAAATGACCATCCCTACCCGTAAGTGATGCCGTGACCCTTCCTTACTCGTTCATTGAGATACTTGCCAAGTGCCTCCTGTGTGTCAGGCACTGGGATATGACACACCAGTATGGAATTTCTTTCACTTAGTGTATGGTAAGCCCAGTGGGGAAGTAGTATCTGCCTGCTTTACCGCTGGGAAGGGCAGGGCTGGGGCCACCGGGGGCTTTGGGCATGCTCTTTGGAGACCATGTCCTATCCTCGTGTGGGTTCTGGGCCCTGTGCTTCCTGCTTCCTCTCCCAAGAACGCTGCACCCTTAAGCAAGTCGGGTCACCTCTCAGAGTCCACATCCCCATCTGTGCATAAAATGATGCCTAACAGGGCCTGGCATGGAACAAGAGGGGAGTAAGTGTAACAAATGATCGCAGGTCTGGTGGTTTTACAACAGCACAATACAAATTTATTGTCTCACAGTCATGGAGGCCAGAAGCCTGACATCAAGTGTGGGCACCACCAGGGTCTGGCTCCATTTAGAGGCTCCAGGGGAGGATCCTTCCTTGAGGTCTCTGGTGGCTGCCAGCCACCCAGCTGGCTGTCCCGTCCGTGACCCCCTCTCCTCCTGCCCTGTGCCCTTCGACCCACAGCCTCCAGATGGCTGTCCAGTCGAGCAGCTGTGGTGAGGACACTAAGGTTGGGGTTCCTGGTAAAACGCCACTCAGGAGGAGGGGGTCTGCCTTAAAACAAATGGAAGCCTTTAAACTACAAGGAACAGAAAATCCACTGGTATGTTTGTAGCCTGGGATAAATCATTCTCAAAAGTGTGGCAAATGCAGATGCCAGCTCAGCGTAAATAAGGAAAGAGATGAAGGATGAGAAAGAAAATAAAAAGCCTTTATTCCAGAAGAGAGGACAGGGCAAAGAAGAGGGAGCAGCTAAGTTTCTGTTCTAACAGAGAGCGACTGAGTTCAGTCCTCGTGTCTCTGGCACCTTGGGGAAAGTGGGCCATGCCAATTCTCTCTGCTCCTCATGACGGGGCTGACAGGCTCAAGAAAATGCAGGCGCCTGGGAGAAAGCCGACAGTTTGCTGTCATGTCCCGACCTCCGTAGTGGGGCTGGCACCCTCTATTTGGAGTGGCTGGTGAGCGGGCCCCGAGGTGCCCTGGAGAGATAAGGAGATGAGGTGCGTTCTACAAAGTGGAAAATGGGTTCTGATCAAACATGAGCCCGTGGGAAAGACTGTGAAGTTCTGAGCAACCTGCATCTGCCTTCCTGTCGGTGTCCTAGTGTGGGGAGGTGGGAGGGCGGCATGGGACAGGAGGTTGAGGGGTGGCACTTACTGAGTGCTTACTACTAAGGCAGAGTGGGTACCGCGCTGGGCGGCTTGCAGACATGACGAGGTGGTGAGTGCTGGTTCCATTTTGCAGACCAGGAAACCAAGGCACAAGGATTCTTAGGAAGTGGCGAGACCCAGGTCTGCCTGACCTTAAGACGTCAGATGTTGTGTCTTTCCTCAAGGACCTCCGCAGCCAAAACTAATCAGTACAGAGCTTCCAGAGAAGCAGACCCCTCTACCCCTGCCCCAGGTGCCTGAAGTGGCGTCCAGGGTACGGCTTTCTTATTTGTAAGCAGAAATGAAACCCCTGGGAGGAGACATTCCAGAGCCATTTCACTTTTACTTGAACATGAGCAGTGCCTGCTCATGTGCAGATGCGATCACTGCGCCTGTGACAGTAAAAATACCAACGGTGTCATTAGCGGCAACCCTCCTGGGCATGCCCATGCTCTAATGACTTGAGCGTCTTCCCTGCTCTTTACAAGAAGCCGCCTTTCTGAGGTGCTCAGTCTTACGGGTTCTTTCCTTCAGAGAGAGCCTGGATTCTTGTTTGGGACCCACATTTCTTGGTGCGGAAGCAGCAGCAAAGAACGAGGCCTGGGATTCAGCCAAACCTGGCTTTGAATTCTTGCTGTATCCGTGAGCACAACACTCAGCCTCTCGAGCCTCTGGCAGGATGGGGGACACCTCCTACTGAGAGCCTGCTCTGGGCATTTTGTGGATAAAAGCCAACAAGTGACTGCATCTTTACATGCCATTTATCATCATCCGTCCTTTCCAGAATGACCTGGGGCCTCCTTTCCTTCACTGGCCTCCAAAAGTCATTTCACTGGGCTGTGGAAATCAAACAGTGGTTCCTCCCCACCAAGAAGAGTTGAATGTTGCCCTGAAATTACCAATAATTTTTCTCCAGCTCTCCGTCATTGAGTGGAGCAGGAGTTGGCCAAGTTTCTCTGTCAACGCCCAGATAGTATGGGTTTTAGGAAGGTGGTCCACGCTGTTTCTGTCACCATTACTCGACTTTGTGGATGTCATGTGAAGGCCGCCATAGATGGTAAGTGTTGTACAAGCATCCCTGTGTCCAGAGAGAATTTATTTACCAAAGCAGGCTGGGATTGGCGCACGGGCCATGGTCTGCAGATTCCTGCTCTGTCGAATGGGGAGGTTCTGGGTCTCAGGCTGGAATTGGCAGC